AAGTCAGGGTAACTATCTTTACGACCAACAAAAAACAAGTTCCAGATTAATACCTGAAACAAGACAGGGCAACTATCTGTGAACAAATTGATTGTAGCTCAATTCCCGAAACAAGACGGGACGACTATCTACATGACAAACACTTCCTTCAAGACATATATTGTTTAAGTATAAATCGGCCAAATATTTATTCTGATACTTCTTCCAATTTCTACCAACAGTCACTCTGGATGGAATCTGTAAGCCCATCTCTGACAGACTCCCTATCACCTCTCCAAATGACATCTTTAAGCCCATTCCCAACACAATCAACCACCACATTATCGAGTGCAAATTATGGGCACACTAGTGTTCAATCATCTTTCACCTTCAAGTCACGAATGGCGGACTCGCCAATCTAACTCTTCAGATTTAAGAAGATTGAACAGGGGCAGTTGTTGTACCCTAAAATTTGCCCTCTCTTTTCTCAAGACATTTCTCGCAAAGATTTTCAAAAGCTCAAATTTGCACAAGTACAATTAACTTTTAATGTCCCATATAGTTTCCATGGATCATATTGGACTTTCAAGCATCAGGTCGAAGACAGAACTTCTGAATCTTCGAAAGGAGGAAGAGGAAGTTGTCGAAAGGGAAAAGCAGATAATAGATAAAAAAAGGTGTGCATATGCAGATAACTATGTCAAATTCAAATCTGGTTCAGGCTATTCGAACCACATGGCTGATCGAAAGGGTTGGTTGGCAGATTTTTGACAAATCAAAGAAGAGCAAGCTTGCTTCGATCCCCAAGCTTCGACTGGGCAATGGCTTCTTCGAGCAACCTGCTTCGATCCACCTCTAAACCCTTCGACACACATATTTTCGACACTATGGAATACAAGTCTATCTTCAAGCTTGCTTCAATCCCCAAGCTTCGACTGGGCAATGGCTTCCTTCAAGCAACCTGCTTCGATCCACCTCTAAACCCTTCGAAACACATAGTTTCGACACTATAGATTACAAGTCTATCTTCAAGCTTGCTTCAATCCCCAAGCTTCGGCTGGGCAATGGCTTCCTTCGAGCAACCTACTTTTACCCACCTCTAAACCCTTCGATACACATAGTTTCTACACTATGAATTACAATTTGAGGTTTGGACATTTGAACTTTCGACCACTTAATCAACTGATGGTTACTGGTAGGAAAGCAATCCAGAAATTCTTTCATTTTGATTATGAAAATGAGATTATCTTGCATACTCAAAGTGGTACATTCAGATGGATGTGGTCTATTCGAAGAACACACAATTGGTAGAAACAAATATTGTTTTGTCTATTGATGAGTTTGGTCGAAGGTTGTAAGTGGTCCATTCGAATAACACACAATTGGTGGAAACAAATATTGTTTTGTCTGTTGATGAGTTTGGTCGAAGGTTGTAAGTGGTCCATTCGAAGAACACATAATTGCTGGAAACAAATATTGTTTTGTCTGTTGATGAGTTTGGTCAAAGGTTGTAAGTGGTCCATTCAAAGAGCACACAATTGGTGGAAATAAATATTGTTTTATCTGTTGATGTGTTTGATCAAAGGTTGTGGATCTATGTGATCAAAACGAAAGGATGAAGTATTCGACATCTTTTAGAGATTCAAGATGCTTGCTGAACAAAGTCCTATATGCTACCAAGTCCAAGTTTGTTGTACTGTCCACATAACAACCTAAAACCATGTCAAAAGCCCTGCACCAAGCTGCCACAACACTCCAAAACTGCTGCAAAACAGTTTTGTTGTGCTGCTCCTAAACCAGTCCAAGCCTAGATTATCTCAGTCCCATATTTGCACTAAATTAGCATATAAGAGCTACACCTCAAAAGCTTATGAAAAGAGCATGCCCAAACAGTTCAAATTTTATTTGTTTTCCCCCCAAAACTCCAGCAAGACTCTTCTATAAATAAGTTGTTTCACAACACACAAAGGGGGGGGGGGGGCTTTTGGCAAGGAGAAAGGAGAGAGAAAAAAGAGAGAAGAGAGAATACGAAGGCTGAAGCCTTAAAACACTCTTAAACCCAGAACCAACAAAAAAAACACAACGCCTCTGTTCTTTTCTTTCGAACCCAAGAACATTCAAGGCAGCAACTCAAGTTCGAAACACAAGTTTCAGCTTCAAGATAAGTCTTCTTGACTTTAAACCCTTCATTTCAAGCATCATTGATGATTCATCTTCGAAGATAACATGTAATAACCATTGTATTTGAAGCTAACCTTTTGTTTGTCTTCTTTTCTTGTCAATTATATGCTAAGAACTAACATGTACAGACCATAAAATAATGTTGGAGTGAAAGAATTACAGCATGATTCGACACAAAGCTTTAGGCTTCGATACATATTGCTTTACAGGCCTAAACAGAAGGGGAAAAGAGTGTGTGATTCGACACATAACATTATGCTTCGACTCATACTAAGTTCGATTTGGCATTACAGGGTCGAAAGAAGGATACGTTCGATGCATATAAGCATGCTTCGAAACATGCTTCGACAAATGATGTTGAAAGATTTGTTTTTTCTCTCTTTTGCACTATTTTTTTTATATTTTCATATTTATTTTAATTAACCAAAAGCCTTCCATAAAAAAAAATCTAAAAAATTATTTCTTGATTAATTTGATTTCCTTTTAACTTATGATTAATTTTCCTATTTTTTAATAATCATATCCCTTTAGATTAATTAGGTCAAAACAATTTTCCTAACAAAAAATCCAAAGCAAAATCCATTTCTTTTTATATTCCTTGTACATTACATTCATGTCATTTCTTGTACATTTATTCAATGTGGTTGTAATATATAATTATGTTTAATTTCTTGCAATTTCCATTTGTACATTTGTATCTCCCATCCTCCAAATGATGTAATAGCATAGAACATTTATTTTCCGCAATTTTGCCGCTTTCATAAATGCTAGTAATTAGGGTGTGTATGGCAAGATAAAATCAACCGTTAGAAAACCCTAATTTCAAAGACAAAAATGCATGCAATCAAACACACTATTCACACACGTGTACCTCTAGGGTAACCTCGCCTGTTGCCTCGGAAAATAGTCATGTCCCTCAAATATGGGCGTTTTAACAAAGACCCTTGATAAAAAAGATTGTAGCCCCTCGATGTTGCCTTCGGTAAACGATCTAGTCCCTTACGAAAATTGTTAAAACGTCTCATAAGTTGCCTTCTATGACTATACGATTGACTCACGTCTGTCCCTTCACATCCAACGATAGGGCTTCTTACCAATCAATGATAAGATAGCAACATCTAAAGGAGGGGGAAAAGAACAAAGACCTTTTGAGTAGGTAGGACGCTCGTAGTTGCTTGCTCACAAACTAAAACCATTTTCACACTTACACTTTCACTTTTGATACTATGTTGTTTACTACTCTCACTTACTGTTGCAAGGAGACAATTAGAATTTTGGTATTCCTAATCTACCTTCCAACGGATTTCTTTTCAACTATAAAAAGAAGACTTGGAAGATTTGGAATTGTTGAACAACTTTAATGAACTCACGCTAGTTCAAATTGCTGAAATGGAACCACAACAAAAGAAACCAATTGTGATAGTTTACGAATTGAACTATCACTCACATTTCGTTTTTTATTTATTTATGTGTGGTTTGGTTTAACAGTTTGATGCACCTCTTACATACCTATCATTAATGGGGGTAGTCTAATTACTGAAATTTCAGAGTTTGACATCAAAGAATAACTAGTATGGATTGAAGATGAATTACTTGAATAACTAGTAGGAGGATTTTACGGGGATGGACTAGTCCAGTGAGTGACTTGATCATCATGTTCATCAGAATTCAAAGGAACCAAAGTGGAATCTTTGGATAGAAAACCAAACACTTCTTTCCTGTATCTGACAATCTTGGTATGCTCTGCATCATGATAACCGGACAAACTAGTATCATTAAATGTCTTTGTTGTTGGCTGTAAAAGAGAAATCTCCATGACTATATCCACAACATGAATGAACCATTTGCCTCATAAACCTACTTGAAAAGTAATAGAATTGTCAAATCAATAATCATGTGGATATTTCATCCATAAATAGTGCAAGTGTTAATTCAAACACACATTTATTTACAAATCATTCTACTTCTAGTTCATTATAAGATGATGACAAGTAGGTATTCTTACAAATAGAACTTAATATTACTATTATTAATTGAAAAATAATGATGTCTTTGTCGTTTATTTATACCACCATCTACGTCCAGAGAGCTGGAAATGAACCAAGCTGAATCAACTTGGTTCAGCTCGCCCACTGACAAATGACAATCATTTAGATGATGAATAAGCATTTTCCCAATTCCTCCAACCACCTCCACCTTGGACAACCCGGGAGTGATTTCAACAATATTACAACCATAGTTTTTCACATACAATCCATAAACAAAATACTCCACACCATTTATTTGGCTTGAGCAACCATGATTAAAAAAATCAAAGCCTAATAATTGTCACTTGCCACAAACAGTATTTTCATTTCACTTTCGGTCTAGAAAACTGACATACAAACCACTGCTTTGTAATTTAGACTCCCTGATATTATAATTCTATGATTCCCACTTCTCAGCAATGTAAGGTGATGAGTGCCGGTACTTATGAACTCTTTTTAATGTGAAATTTGAGTTTTCCCCAATAACTACAATTCCACTATCGATGATAAATGGGTTGTCTAAAGTCCCATTACAACACATTCATGACCTTGCATGCCCTTTGTAATAAAAGTTTTTCCGGTCTGAAAAATAGTGGCTAGAAGAAGTAGTGTGCAATCTATGTTGCTTTTGCATTCAAGTGGTTGAAATTTAAATATAAATCATTTTTGTAACTGAAACTAGTTTACAAAATCTATCCCACTCAGTAAGTTAAAAAAACTCACCTTTGGAAGACTTTGTGCTTCATTGTAAAATTTAAGTGGCCACATCTAAAAGAAAAATAAGACCAAAAAGAGCAGGTTGTATTAGAGACGCTAACCAGCATTGCTGCTATAATGATGATTAAATGGTACGATAGAGTTAATGGTTGCTGTAATATGCTCTACAGTTTTGTAAATAACATCAGAAAAAGGATGTGTTTTATCTTCTACTGAGAACAGATGAATATTGTTGTTGTTCAACTCAATCCAGCTGCAGCCTTGATCTTTTCTCAATTTCAAACTCTGTAATCTCTTCCTAATTTTTGTCTTCTTCCCCCATCTACCTCGTACAGCATACATGTTAGACAGAATAACTAAAGCAGATAGTGAATTTGGATCCAAACTGATCAACTTCTCAGCAGCTCTCTCTCCAACTTCCACGTCGTTCCAGAAACACGAGGCGTTGAGCAAAGCTCCCCAAATTACACCATCGGCTTCAATAGGCATTTTTATAATAAACTCTTCAGCTTCTTTCACACGACCTGATCGACCAAGAAGATCCACCACACATGTGTAATGTTCTATTGTTGGGTTTACCCTGTAGCTTATCTGCATTAAATGGAATATTTCTAAACCTTCGTCAACTAGACCGGCATGGCTACAGGCAGAAAGAACAGCAACAAAAGTAGCTGCATTTGGAACAACTCCTTGATCTAACATTGAGTGGAAGAGTGAAATCGCCTCAGATCCTCGTCCATGATATGCATAACCATTTATAAGAGCTGTCCATGCAGCTACATTAGGTGAAAAGATGCTGGCGAAAGACCTTTGAGCGTCACCCAAGCGACCACATTTTGAATAGAAGTCTACAAGAGCAGTCCCGACATAAACATTTGCATGGTATGGTGTTTTGGCTAAGTGCGCATGAAGCAACTGGCCTTGCTGAAAAGAACAGAGACACGCACAAGCACGAAATAGGACAGAGAAAGTTGATCTGCTATACACGACAGATAGTCTGCGCATAGTCACGTATAACTTTAATGCCTCGTTGTGTTGACCGTTATGAATGTAACCTGACATCATTGAATTCCATGTTACACAGTTTCTTTCACCTTTAGTTTTGTCAAAAAGCTTCACAGCTTCATCCAGTTCACCATTTTTGGAATACACAGAAATCATAGTATTTAAGGAGGTTAAATGTTTGACACTCATTCTCTCGAACAATTTTTTCGAATTTTCAAACTCACCAGTCATCGCATAACCTTTAATCATCAAATTATAAGAGATGGGATTTTTCTCTCTCAATCCATTAAAGATCAGCTCAGCTTCTTTGACCATCCCTATTGAGATAAGGCCACCAATCAATGAGTTAGCAACGTTCAAACTAGCTTCTGCTGATATGCTATCATAAACTCTCTTCGCATCATCTACAGCATCGCAAACACAATAAAACTCAGTAAGTGCGCCGCCAATGGAGTTATCAAAATCAAAACCATCCTTAATGCAAAGTCCATGAACAACCTTCCCTAAATACAGAACCTTAAGTCTAGCACAAATCCTTATAACACAATCCAAAGTGAACTCATTAGGCAACACCTCAGAACTCCTCCTCATACTCTGAAACAAATCCAAAGCCGTCTCACACCCATCTTCCCTCTTGGCAAACCCATATATCAACGTAGTCCAAGCCACGACATCCCTAACAGGCATCTTGTTAAATAATTTCATAGCATCACCCATCATGTCACGCTGCACATACCCCGCAAGCATCAAACTCCACAATGAGTGATTCTCATCACCCAGCTCCTCAAAAACTTGCTCAGCTTCTCTAACTCCACAACAGCGCGCATAGAAATACAACAAGGCACTCCCCACGAGGCCAAACCTCTCATGTCCAGATTTCAAAAGGAGGGAATGAACCTGCTTTCCAAGGAACAAAGACTCAGAACGTGCACACGCGCTCAAAACTGCTGAAAAAGAAATCTCATTGAACTCGACACAAGAACGGTGCATGATGAAAAAAAGAGTCAAAGCCTCAGTGTAGTTCCCCCATTGGGAGTAGCCAGAGATCATGGTGTTCCATGAGGAAACTGTTTTAAGCGGCATTTCATCGAACATGTGGCGTGCTTCTTTGAGTTTCCCGGTTTTGGCGCAGTGAGAGATTGAGATGTTGGTGGAGATCACGTGAGGGGAATATGGTTCCGAAGCTTGCGAAAGGGTCGTGAAAAGTTGGATTTTTGCTTTCCGTTTCCAAGTGAAGCTCACTGGGCAGAATCTGAGAAACATGGTAATTGTGCGGGAAACAAAACATGGTGGTTTGCGAGGGTTAGCCGTTAACTCATGAGAACATAGTGTAATGTCTCGTCACTCATTCATAAACTTTTAATTTATTCAATTTTTTTTGCATTTCTTTAATTAATTTTTTTTGTCTTCATTATTTAGAATTCTCGAATTTTTTTTTTGCAATAATCAGATATTAAAAAAAATTCCACAAATAACCACGTTTCGGAAAAAAATACGCAAATAACCATGTTTCAGATGACTCCCCAAAGGAGGAGCCATCTCACCTGGCGCCTCCACCTAGGGTTTTGCCATAGGCGCCATCTCACTTGGCGCCTCCTCTCTCTTTTAGCCAAGTGAGATGGCGCATGCACTTTAAAAGTGAGAGGAGGCGCCATCTCACTTGGCTCCTAGGGCAAAACTAAGACAAAATGTTGTTTTATAAATAATTCGTTCGTTTCTCCGTCGTTTCTCCGTCATTTCTCACACTTTCTCGCACTGTTTTTTTATTTTTTACTCTGTTATTTGCGTCATGACATCGCCCATGATTTTTACCAGAGATGGTTACGTTATCTTCTCTGTCACGAAACCTGCGATGAAAATAAAATTCTGGCACATTCACTCCATGGAGCGTCTGAAGCGGGAGTTGATGCGATGGCTAGATGGAGACATTGCGGAGGGGGGGGGGGATTCGAAGGATCCAGCGAAGACGAACAACAACCTCACAGGCGACAGGAAGACCTAATGTATGGTTGGAGGAAGTCAAAACAGACAGCAACGTAATGTTGATGATGCATGGGTCAGATGAAATTGTTTTAACAGTTGTAATTTCGTAGACAGAATATCGTGTTTTTTTTCTTATACGCGCAATATTTATTGTAGCAAATACTGTTAACGAAAAACTCTAATGTTTACAACATAATTAAGGAAAGATTTTATGTATTACAATTTTTATGTGGTCGAGGCAGACGCCCGATTCGGACAATTTTCGCGATTGTGTCCGACCTGACGGCATAAACCACACTTTCTTTCCAGCTTGTCAAGTTCGTCCATTTTGGTTGTGATGCGCTTACTTTTGGGACGACCCTTCTTGTTCCTTCGCATTTGGTCATTGTGCCACACTATTTCGCCGTCGTATGCAGGCCAATAATCAGCTTTTGCTACCAAAGGAAAGTTGTTGTTGTAAACATTGAACAACGTTTCAGATTTGTAAATGTGTGACAGAAGTTATAGCGCGTCTTGATGGGTATAAGCACAAGCGGCAATGATATGAGAGCAAGGCATACGAAAGGCTTGAAACTTGCCACAATCGCACCAACGAGAAGGTAGTATTACCCTATATTCCTGTCTTGGTAGGCCTTCGTTGTGGTCGATTGTCTCTTTCACAATGAAGTTGTGACTGTGTCGGTCAAACCGTATAACCATATGAGTGTTGGCTTTGGCACTTTCTGCCTTAATGTATTTCATGCAGCTTTCACTCCATAGTTGTCCAGATTGCAACACCGCATTCCATATTTCACCTCTTTTGGCAAACAACGCAGCCATCCTAAAATACGTAGATTTTACCAAAGCAGTGATCGGGAGGTTTCGTATGCCTTTGAATACCCCATTCATCGATTCAATAAGATTCGTTGTCATGTGCCCCCGTCTTTGGCCATTATCGTATGACCTAGTCCATTTTTCCACCGGAATATTGTCGATCCATCTACCGGCTTCCGGATTTGACAAACGGATCTCGTTGCGGTAATATTTGAATGTAGGTTGTGTCAATGCATATCCCACATTTATAACCGTTTTCCTTAGTGTTTTGTCCTTGATCTCCCTCGTGAAATTCCGGACGATATGCCTAACGCAATAGACATGCGTAGAAGGAGGGACATGCCAACCGTTTGCAGGATTATTGTAGGCACTTTCAATGGAGGCGTGTCTGTCCGAGATCAAACAGAGATCTGGTTGAGGAGCCACGTGTGTTCGCAGGTTTTAAAAAAAAAAGCTCCAAGCACCACCGGTCTCCCCCTCGACTAGAGCAAAGGCAATTGGGAAAATGTTGTTGTTGCCATCTTGTGCAACTGCCATCAGTAGCGTGCCTTTCTATTTCCCATACAACCAAGTCCCATCAATTTGTATAATTGGTTTGCATGATGCAAACCCTGTGATGCAAGGTTGAAATGCCCAAAACACTCGACTGAATATTCCGTTTCCGTTTAGTTGACTACCATATTGGGCGTATGCTGGCACTGTTTCCAGAACGTAGACAGTATCCAGAGAATAAGTCTTGAGTGCATTCAGGTAGCGAGGAAGTTCTTGGTATGACTCCTCTCAGTTTCCGTACACCTTTTCAATCGCCTTAGTCTTTGCTAACCACGCCTTACGGTAAGACGGAGTATAGTTAAAAACGGTGGTGATGTGGGAGATGATGGTTTTCACCTTCAAAGATGGGTCGTTGCTGACCAGTGGTAGGATTTCTTGACAGATGAGATCGTAATTAAGTTTTCAGTGGTCCTGTGATTGGGTAGAACTTACACAAGTGTGGGTAGTCATGGAACCTATGACCCAGAAATCACCTTTTAATCTGTATGATGCAGTGAGCTTGAACATACAGTCAGGGTGGACACACTTGATCTTATACCTTTCTGGGTTGACACGGTCCACCTTAAAATCGACCGAGTTGAGCATGTGGAATTTTTTTATGGCTCTGATGCATTCCTCTCTGTTAAGAAACTTGTCCTTCTCTTTTAAGTTTTCATCCGACTGCATATACGAATTGAAAAATAAATCAGTAGACGGTTCATTCCGCCCATGTTGAAGTTTGTCATGTGCGGAGGTGGTGTGTAGATCTCGTTTGCAGGAATACTAGGTATGCCATCATCGTCGGAATCATCATTCACCATTTCATCAAACTCTAACTCGTCATCTTCTTCTTCTTCATCAACTACATCTACCTCTGCTTGTTCATTCTCCAAAGGATCAACCACTTGTGTCACCTGAGGCTCTCGCAACATAATGTACAACTCAATAGAGTCGTACCCAAAATACACATGGCTGGAAAACATATTCTGAAGATCCTCGTCATCTTGAACCTCAACCTTATAAAATATTATTTGGTTGTTTCCAAAAAAAACTGGATTCTGATAAAATATTTGTGTCACCGGGCCTCGTCCAAGTTTGGCCTCCAATCGTTTTTTGAAGTACGAGAAATTGGCTTTCCCGTTTAAAAGAAATCGGATGTTGTCTGTGTCTCTAAACAAAAACCCAGAGGTGGGACAAATGTATGTCTCACCGTTGAAATGTGCATTGATGACATATTGGGGTGCAAAGGCCATTGCGTAGGGTTGTTTGAAGGTTTGAAGGTTTGAAGGTTGGAATGTTTGAAGTGTATGAGTTATTCGAAGGTTTGTATGTTTGATTGTTCGAATGTTTGAAGGTTTGATTGTATGAAGGTTGGAAGGTTTGACAGATTAAGTGAATCAGTGTTTTGATAAATGTAAGACTAAATAGATCATACTGAATTTGAATTAAGTAAGGATGTAACCCCCAAGGTTGCCACCTAACCTGCGCCTACTCTGCACCTACACTGTAACTTGTAAGTCTCCTCCCATCACCTCCAATAGTGTTACATGCATTCAGGCATGGTATCCCCAAGGCTGTCACCTAGCCTGCGCCTACTCTGCAACTCATGACACCTCTTATTCGCCAATAGGGATGGCGACACTTTTCATTTTTGAACTCTTTCGCAAAGTCCAATGGCGCCTCCCTTAATGTCCAATCGTGTTACATGCATGCAAAGATGTAACCCCAAGGCTGCCACCTAGCTTGCGCCTACTCTGCACCTACATTGTAACTTGTAAGTCTCCTCCCATCACCTCCAATAGTGTTACATGCATTCAGGCATGGTATCCCCAAGGCTGTCACCTAGCCTGCGCCTACTCTGCAACCCATGACACCTCTTATTCGCCAATGGGGATGGCGACACCTTTTATTTTTGAACTCTTTCGCCAAGTCCAATGGCGCCTCCCTTAATGTCCAATCGTGTTACATGCATGCAGAGATGTAACCCCAAGGCTGCCACCTAGCATGCGCCTACTCTGCACCTACACTGTAACTTGTAAGTCTCCTCGCATCACCTCCAATAGTGTTACATGCATTCAGGCATGGTATCCCCATGGCTGTCACCTAGCCTGCGCCTACTCTATAACCCATGACACCTCTTATTCACCAATGGGGATGGCGACACCTTTCATTTTTGAACTCTTTTGCCAAGTCCAATGGCGCCTCCCTTAATGTCCAATTGTGTTACATGCATGCAGAGATGTAACCCCAAGGCTGCCACCTAGCCTGCGCCTACTCTGCACCTACATTGTAACTTGTAAGTCTCCTCCCATCACCTCTAATAGTGTTACATGCATTCAGGCATGGTATCCCCAAGGCTGTCACCTAGCATGCGCCTACTCTACAACCCATGACACCTCTTATTCGCCAATAGGGATGGCGACACCTTTCATTTTTGAACTCTTTTGCCAAGTCCAATGGTGCCTCCCTTAATGTCCAATCGTGTTACATGCATGCAGAGATGCCTTCTCCAAGGCTGCCACCTAGTTGCGCCTACTCTACAAGAGTGACACTTATCATGCATGCATGCACCAGCTACCACCTCACTTACTCTATGAAATTTTTTTGCCTATAAATACAGAGCATAACATACTTCTCTCACACCCACAATCGTCTCACTCTCTGCTACAAAGTCTTTCATAACCTCTCACACTTTCTAAGTCTTTCATAATCTCAGGAATTTTCAACAATGGTTATTCTCACAATGGGCGATTCTCACAGAGGCACAAGGGACAACATTGCTGCATTTGTAAGTTTCTATTTTGGTTATACATTTTTTATACTTCAGGTAATGCTTTGTTCATCTTACTTAATCTTACACCTTTTACATTATTAACTCAGGATACCAAAAGATTCAGAATCCGGTCTCACAACTACCTGGCTCCCGACCCATTTAT